AGAACCAGGCAAGGATCCCCTCTATCACCACTTCTACTCAACATTGTATTGGAAGTCCTAGCCAGGGCAGTAAGGCAAGAAAGGGAAAGCAAGGGCTTCCAAATAGGTAAGGAAGAAGTCAAACTATCCCTGTTTGCTGATAGTATGATCCTATACATAGAAAACCCAAGCAACTCAGCAAGAAAACTACTGGAACTAATTGAGAGATTAAGCATCGTAGCAGGATACAAGATCAACCTATAAAAATCAGTCAGATTCCTCTACACCAGCAAAGAGATTGCTGAAAAGGAAACAAGGAAATCAATACCATTTATAATAGCTATCCCCAACAATAAAATACTTGGGAATAAATCTTACCAGGGACACAAAAGACCTGTACAAGAAAATCTACAAAACTCTACTTCAAGAAACCATAATAGACCTATATAAATGGAATAACATACCATGCTCATGGATAGGAAGATTAAACATTGTGAAAATGTCAGTAATACCCAAAGCAATATATACATTCAAAGCAATCCCCATCCAGAATCCCATCAACATTCTTTAAGGGTATGGAAAAACCAATCACTCATTTTATATTGGGAGCTTTGGTGGTGTAGTGCCTAAGGCATTTGACTTCTAACCCAAAGGCTGGCAGTTCAAACCCACCAGCCACTCCTTGGAAGGAAGACTGGGCAATCTACTTCTGTAGAAATACATGGGTCCGAAACTCTAAGAAGGGTTGCTATGAGTCAGAATCAATGTAAAAAGGAAAGAGACCTTGGAGAAGCAAACCACTATGGAAGAAGAAGAGCAAAGTAGGAGGTCTCACACTCCCAGATCTCAAAACCTCGTATATAGCCACAGTAGTCAAAACAGCCTGGGTTTGGTACAATGACAGACACATAGGCCAGTGGAAAAGAATTGAGAACCCAGAAATAGATCCATTGACCTATGGTCGGCTGATACTTGACAAAAAGCTGAAATACATTAAATGGGGAGGAGATGATCTCTTTAACAAATGGTGCTGGAAAACTGGATATCCATTTGCAGTAAAATGAAACAAGATCCATACCTCACACCATACACAAAAACTAACTTCAAATGGATCAAAGACTTAAATGTGAAACCTAAAACTATAAAGTTCCTCAAGGAAAAAAATAGGGGCAAATTTAGGGGCCCTTATTTATGACATAAGTAGACTGTCAAGTGTAACCCAAAATGCACAAATAGCAGAAGATAAACTAAATGAATGGGACCTTCTAAAAGTTAAGTTTTTATGTGCTTCAAAATACTACTTCAAAAGAATTAAAAAAGAACCTGCAAATTGGGAAAAAAAAAAAATTTGGCAATGACATATCTGACAAGGGACTTATCTCTAAAATTTATAGAAAACTCCAATACCTCAGCAACAAAAAGACAAACAATCCAGTTCAAAAATGATCAGAAGACATGAATAGACACTTCACCAAAGTGAATATCCAGCACCTAACAAATACTTGAAGAAATGTTCACAATAATTTGCCATTAGAGAGATGCAAACCAAAAAAACAATGAGATACCATCTTGCCCCAGCAGTAGTAGCAAAGTTCAACAAGACAGAAAATAACAAATGCTGGCAAGGATGTGGAGAGATTGGGACTCTCTTACGCTGCTGGTGGAGTCAGCAACGAAATGAAACAGCCACTGTGGAAAGCAGTATGATGATTCCTTAAAAAGTTGAAATTAGAAATACCATTTGATCTAGCAATCCTGTTACTAGGAATATATCCTAAAGAAGTGAGAGCCAGGACAAGAACAAATAAATGCACACCCATATTCATAGCAACACTATTTAATATAGCCAAAAGATGGAAACAACGTAGGTGCCCATCAGCAGAAAAGTAGATAACCAAACTGTGGTACATATACATAATGGAATACTATGCAACCGTAAAGAATAATGTAGAATCTACAAAACACTGCATAACATGGATGTACTTGGAGGACATTATGCTGAGTGAAATAAGTCAATCACTGAAGGACAAATATTACATTAGTTCATTATTGTAAAAAGTCAAGGAAAGGTTTATATGTGGAAGGAAACTTTCTTTATTGGTTTCCAGGGGTGGAAGGGGAGGGGAGAGAATACTGCTGGATTGGTACAGACAAGTGTTGATTTGGGTGAATGAAAGGGCAATGTACCAAATGTGAGTGATCAACATGGTAGCAATGAGGAAGAGGAATACAGAGAGAGGTACATGGAAGGTATAGACAACAAAGATGAACCCTTTCGTATGTACAGTACTGCATTGTCAGTGATGGCAATCATTAATCTATGGGTAGATAGATAGGTGGACAGGCTGAATGATCAGGTAATCAGGTATGTCTAGGCAGGGGTAGTGTGCCCATAACCATGTATGTATAGAGTTAGCACACAATGTTTTTACATGTGTATTTGTATGTGCTGTAAGAATGTCCAGGTGTATAGTAGAGCTGACAAGGCAGAAGGTTGTGGTGCCTTCTCTTAGCTCTAGCCAGCTATCCAGAGGGAGCAAATAGTTGGACCTGTGGGCTCAGTACATCAAGTTCTATTGGCATAACATACTACACAAAAACATTTTTCCATATCCTACTTTGGTGAGTAGCAACTGAGATCTTAAAAACTTGCAAGCAGCCATCTAGATACATTGATGGGCCTCTCCTCATTCAGAGGAAAGGAGAATGAAGAAAACTAAAGGTGCATGGAAACAATTAGTCCAGGCGACTGGTGCACCATGCAATCCTAAGTCTATACAACTACGAGACCAGAAGAACTAGATGGTGCCCAGCTACCACTGTCAACCACTCAGATGGGGATCTATGTAGGAGATCCTGGATAGAGTGGGAGAGCAATGTGGAACAAAAGTCAAAATCATTTGGGGGGGAAAAGGACCAGGTTTGCTGGTCTGATAGAGCCATATGGAACCACTGAGACTATGGCCCCTAGCTGCCCTTCAGGTCTGGAATTGAACCCATCCTGTGGGTTCCAGCCAAACAAAAGACAGCCATATGAGCTCAACATTTACACTAGGTAGAAACATTCCTTGGAGAGAACAATCATGGGAGAATAGAAGGGCTGTGTATGCACAGGGACGTAGCTTGGGGCAGGAGAGCATGGAGGGAAGGATACAGAGAAGAGTTTACTATGGGGAGGAAGTAGGACAGAAGCTATTGCATTGTGGTACATTGTAGTCAATGTCATGAGACAAAGTGTGTGTGAACTGCTGTATGGAAAGTGAATTTGCTCTGTAAACTTTCACCCAAATCACAATTCAAAAAAACCCAAAAACTTGCAAGTGGCCATCTAGATACAATGATGGGTCTTTCCTTGTCCAGAGCAAAGAAGAATGAAGGAAAACAAAGACACACGAAAACAATTAGTCCAAGTGACTGGTACACCATGCAATCCTCATCCTATGTGGCTGAGACGAGAACTAGATGGTGCCTGTCTACCACTGTCAACCACTCGGAGGGGGATCTGTGTAGAAGATCCTGGATAGAGTGGGAGAACAATGTGGAACCAAATTCAAAATCATAAGAAAAAGAAGTGGGGGCAGGCTTGCTGGTCTGATAGAGCCTGGTAGAACCCCTGAGACTATGGCCCCTAGCTGCACTTCAGGTCTAGAAGTGAATCCACTCCTGTGGCTTCCAGCCCAACAAAAGACAAGCATATGAGCTGAACATTTACATTAATGAGATAAACTCCTTGGAGAGATCAGTCACGGGAGAATAGAAGGGCTGTCTATGCACAAGGAGACAGCTTGTAGGGCAGGAGTGCATGGAAGGGAAGAACACAGGGAAGAGGTGGCTGGGGGAGAAAGTGGGAGGAGAGCTGTTGCATTGTGTGAGATTACGGTCAATGTCAGACAAAGTATATGTGAACTGCTGTATGGAAGATGTATTTGTTCTATAAACTTTCACCCAAATCACACACACACAAAAAGCTTGCAAGTGGCCATTTTGATGCAACAATGGGTCTCTCCTCATCCCGAGCAAAGAAGAATGAAGAAAACCAAAGATTCATGGAAACCATTAGTCCAAGAAACTGGTAAGCAATTCAGTCCTAAGCTTGTATGACCAAGAGACCAGAAGAACTAGATGGTTCCTGGCTACCACTGTCAACCACTTAGAAGGGGATCGGTGCAGGAGATCCTGGTAGAGTGGGAGAACAATGTGGAACAAAACTCAAAATCATAGGTGGAAAAAAAAAAAAAAGATGAGGTTTGCTGATCTGATAGAGCCTGATGAGACCCCTGAGACTGTAGCCCCTAGCCTCCTTTCAGGCCTGAAATTGAACCCACTCTGTGGCTTCCACCCAAATAATAGATAGGCATATGTGGTGAACATTTATATCAGGTTGATACACTACTTGGAGCCATCAATCATGGGAGAATAGAAGGGCAGTGTTTGCACAGGAAGACAGCTTGGGGTGTGGGAGTAACAGGGAAGAGGACTACAGGGAGGAAGTGGGAAGAGAAATTGTTACACTGTGGGAAATTTGCAGTCAGTGCCATGAGACAAATGTGTATGAACTGCTGTATGGAAAAGAATTTGCTCTGTAAACTTTCACACATATTGCAATGAAAATTTAAAAATAAATAAAAGGCAAAAAAATTAAATGTGTCATTGATTTACCATACAATATTGCTTGTGTCAGTTATTGCCTTTTGCGATAAGAGCTGTATAGGCAGTCAATAGACTGAGGGTGCTAAACTTCTTTGACTCTGTTGTCTTACTGCTACTTTGGAAGTAATTCATCAGGTCCATGAACATAGGGGCTTGGGTTCAAGTATCTGTGGAAGATCCTTGCAGCTATGTTTAGACCTTCAGAAGTTCCCAAGATGCTCAGTGTCAGGGAGAGAGCCTTTTTGTGTAGCCCTTTGTGGTCTTGCCCAGACAAAAGGCAAGTCTCAAACCAAGTCCTCAGGAGGGAGCCAGCATATGATCCAGGTGAGAAGTGATATCTAATATCTCTCTCTGGCTCCGTTTACTTTCAGATGGAAGAAGTCTTTCCTGTGCAGCTTGGTGTTTGGCATTCCAGTTATGGGTTTAATGATCTATATGCTAATACCCAGCCATGAACCTCATGAATCTATGGTCCTAGACCACAACATCATCCCAGGACTGTCCATTCTAAACCTCATCTTCTTCATCTTGTGTACTTTTGTCCAGGTAGGTATTAGAAAGATGGGCCCCATCCTTGTGTGCCCTGACACTGTGTCCTCTTATGACAAGTGCAGTCTGCAGCTTGGTTAAGTGGCAATTATTGAAGCTTTTCAGCCCCACCCCAGCCATTTGCTGCCCTCTGACATGGAGGATTAAAAAGGGCCTGTTTCTACTCTTGGTTTCAGAGTTGGTTACAGGTAATCAGAACTCTTCCAGGAAGGTTTGGTGCTTCACAGTTTGTCTCTGATTTGCTTATTGTTTGGTGTAATTTACCTATGTTGTTGGGAGTAGCACCTGGACCTTCCTGGAGCTCATGCTTCTCTTGGAAGGCACAAATGTGGTCTTACCTTTGAGGAAAAGAGATAGCCTCATAGACCTTTTGCTCTGGAAAGATATTAAGGAACTAGTCATGTTTCTAGTGGGAAATGTGCCCATTATGCATATATTTTAAAATATAAAATTAAACTCCTTTGATTTAGAACTATTTGGGGGCAAGCATTTGTAGGCTGATTTTTTTTCCTGTTTTCTTTTTAGTTACAAATACAGAGTTATTGTAAACAATTCAAGTCATAGTATAAGAAGAAAAAGGGAAGATGTTCTTTCATTGGTCTTAGTCTCCCCTCCAGCCCAGTCCTATTCCCCGGGGTTACCACAATATTATCAATAGGTGTGAACTGGGTATATATCTTTCCAGATCTCCATCTATATAGAGAATATGCACATTTGTGTATGTGTGTGTGTGTTCACATAATACAGATACATACTGTTTTTTCTTCTTGCTTTATCTATTATTCTTTATTGTAGCTTGCATGAAAGTATATAGAACAAATTAGTTTTCCATTTAACAATTTATACCCATTTTGTTTCATAACGTTGGTTGTAGTTCATAGACTTTTTTTAACTGAAACGAGATCATAGTAGAAATACTGATTTTGTAACTGGCTTTTTCACTTAACTGTATCTCCTGGTCATCTTTCACACCAGTGGTTTATAGATCTAGTATATCCTACTTCAGGTATGCGTAGCACAGTACACACTATAAATGAACCATAATTTATTTAACCATTCTCCAGTTGGTGAACACTCTGGTTGTATAATCTGGTTTTTAAAGGTCTTAGATGCCTTAATTTGTTCCTGTGGCTGTCACAGGAGACACATTTCTTAAACATCAGTTATGGAGGAAAACGTAATGTCAAAATTATGCAAACACCTACAGTATTTGCCACCTGGAAGGGCCTTCTGTGCTGAGATTACCCCATGAGCTGTCTTCCTTGCTCCTAGGCAGTCTTCACTCTTCTTTCTATCTTCCAGTTCCTCGGTGGGTGGTACTTCTATGTCCAGGCCTATAAGTCTCTGAAGCACAAAGCAGCCAACATGGACGTGCTCATTGTGCTGGCCACAACCATTGCCTATGTCTACTCTCTGGTGATCCTGGTGGTGGCCGTTGCCGAGAAGGCCGAGCGGAGCCCAGTGACGTTCTTTGACACACCTCCCATGCTCTTCGTGTTCATTGCCCTGGGGCGATGGCTGGAACACGTGGCAAAGGTAACTACAACTTGAGGCTTAAAACAAGCTTTTCCTTTAGTAATAGAAATCTCAGTTCATCTGCACATTATGTTTAGACTTACTAATTGCACACAATATAGTGAAAGATTTAAAGAAATATGAAACCTACCTATAATTAGATGCTCGGATCACTAATCTCCAAATGGGTTGCTACTTCTGAAATCCCAGCTAATCTGGTTTATCGTTAAGACCTTTCTTCAGGTGCCTTGTAGAATCGGAAGGACCCTGGCTTTCAGGTCAGAGTTTACACTATCTCTTAGTACATAACTTAGCTTCTTGGTCTGGAAATCTGTATTTCCGTCTTACAGCCATGCATTATACATAGTGTTTTAACATATGCTATGAAAGAATGAGATTGAGACCCTAAAAGGAATTAGATTGAACTAAAAGAAAACAGTCAGTGGCTAGGCAGGTTTTTTTTTTTGCTTATTTTTAACCTGAAATATAAATCATAAAACTGAATGACACAGACACCGTAGACTCAGTATGATGATGGCACAGCTGAATATTGCTAACTCCTTCTTGCTAATGCACTACCGTCAAGTAAGACCCAACTCATGATGACCCCTCCTTGGGTTTCTGAGAGGATATCACTACGGAAGTAGATTGCCCAACCTTCCATCCAAGAGTGGCTGGTGGGTTTGAACTGCCAGCTTTCTGGTTAGCAGTCACATGCCTTAGGCATTACGCCACAAGAGCTCCCTCTCTCTTGCTAGAGTCTTTTTATTACAGGGTAGGTTGTGAGGAAGCAGTCTTTCCTGCAGGGGCTATCTCCCAGCCGCTTCCAACACCAGCTTGTGTGTGTAGGTCTAGGTTTGATAGGTTGGTTTACCATAGCTCTGGTTTATGTTCTGGTTATCTCTTAGAGCAAAACCTCAGAAGCCCTTGCCAAACTTATGTCTCTCCAAGCCACAGAAGCCACAGTTGTGACCCTTGGCGAGGACAACATAATCATCAGGTGAGTTAAATCATCAGGTGGGTTAAAATGTCTTAGAGTTCAAAGTCACGTATATATGCTAAAATGGCAAATGAGAGGTACAGCCTATTAGTATCCCAAGAATTCGGAAGAGGAAAGCTAATAGTGATCAAGGAAAACTTCAAAGCGAACATGGAATATGAGTTGAGATTTTTCTTGCAAGATTTGGAGGAGTCAGACAAAGTAGAGGGAAAAGGGCTTCAATGTACCAAAGAATAATGATAGGAGTAAGATTTATTTTCTTTATAATGTTAGTTGATATTCAACATTGTTATCATTATTGCTGAAACTTACACAGCATTTACTGTCTTAGACACTGTTCTAGCCTCTATGTTTAATCAAATAAATGCCATGAAGTATCCTTATTTTACAGAGAGGTCAGGCACCTGGCCCAACATCACACAGCTATTAAGTAGTGGAATTAGGATATAACCTTAGCAGTCCATTCTTAACCCTTATAGATATTGACTCTTAAAGCATGTTTAATAATATAAACATTTTTACGGTATTGCCTGGCTAACCTCTTTTTTTTGTATTCTGGGCAATGGTTTATTTCCAGCCTACTTCAAATTCCTTAACTGTCTCTCTGGCCCTTCTACCTCCCCCTTTAGCCTATGATCTCACTCCTGAGATTACTGGAAATAGAAGCTATGGATGAGAAATCCATCAATTTCATGCCATTCAGCCTACAAACAGCCTTCACCCACAGGCAGCCTCCCCACCCCTGCTGCCCCAGCAAAAGAGGCATCTCTCCTCCCAGGCCTCTCCGTTGATTTTTCATTGATCTTCAGTGTCTCCCTCTTTGCTGATTGTTACCATCCACTAGGACATATATTCTAGATTTTCAGTTGTTAAACTACCCTTCCTGGATCCCATATCCCTGCTGCTTTTGACCTTTTTACAACTGAGCTCCTTGAAGAGAAGTCTCCATGGGCCTTCTCTCCTGCCTTATGTTCTGGTTATTCCGTGCTCCCAGTCTTCACAGCCACAGCCAAGGCCATCATTGACTTCCCTGGTTTTATTGCTAAACCCCGTGGATGCCCCTAAGTCCTTTTCCTACCTAACCTATCAGCTGCATTTACCCGGAAGCCCACTCCCTCATTTCCAAGGTCTTCTGGTTCTTTGGCTTCTTTGATCCAACACCTACTAGTCCACCTGCTTCTCCACTGCTCCTCCTTAATCTTCTTCATAGGCACATCGTCTGTTCCCTCCTTTCCTCTCTTCCTACTCACTCTCCACATCTAATCAGTTACCATGTCCTGTCAACTTTATTTCCTGAATATCTTTTCATTCTGTTTAATTCTATCCAACCATTGGCTCTTGTCTGACTGCTACTTTTGATCTTGTATGCTCCATGCTCTCCATTCTCTATATTGAAGCCAGACTGAAACGCAAGCTTAAAAAATACCCTGTGGCTCACTGTTGGATTAGAATCAGGTGTAGACTTGTAGCAAGGCAGAAGAGTTCCTGCATGATCTGGCCTCTGCACCAGCTCTCTCAAGTCTGTCTTTCAGCCTCACTGGCCAACTTTCAGAGTCCCTGAGTGGCTCAGATAACTAAGCACTCAAGAAAGGTTGGTGGTTTGAACCCACTCAGAGGCCCCTTAGAAGAAAGTCTTGGCAATGTGCTTCTGAAAGGCTACAGCCTCAAGAGCCCAGTGCAGCACACTTCACACTGAATCAGCCACAGATCTGGGGCTTTGCGGGGAGAGGAAGGGAACAACTTTCAGTCCTTGAAAGATCCTACACCTTTGCCTCTGCACATGCTGTTGCCTGTGCCTACAGCATCCCCCAACCACAGCCTCTGGGCCAAGCTGACTGTTTGTGAGTTTTCAAGTCTCAAATTCTATACAGCCTCTCCCAAGAAGCTCCCCTGTGTGTAGCCAAGTCCAGTTATATGTCCTTCCTGTCTCCCTCTCCACCCTACACTTCTCCATTCAGCACCAGTTTATACAGATGTCCTCCAAGAGGACATGCCCCTGGGGTGGCTGAGGCAGGTCCCTTGTCCTCAGTGGTGTCTCCAGAGCAGAGGCTGAGCAGGTATGCAGGAAGTATTTGCTGAGTAAATGAACCATGCATGAACACACAGGGATGAAATATTAATGAGGCAGAGGCTGATGATGCCCACAGCACAGGGGTACTGGGTTTTGCGTGGATGCTGGCTTGGAAATAATAATTATATAATTATAGTAATGATGGCTGAAATGTGAATATTTACTGTGCACACAATTAACATAAGTATAATTCTAATCACTTTACTAAATTACCTAGTTTCATTCTGATATCTACCCTGTGGTCCTTGTTTTCATTAGGAAGAATCAGAAGGTCACCAAGGTGGGTCACTTGCCTAGTGTCCATGACAGAAAAGTGCTAAAGCTGAGCCCCTGGCATCTGGCCACTAGTTCTACCCTCTCAATCACTGTGCAGAACTGTCTCCCAGACTAAGGAGCCTGGTGTGATCTGGCAGTTGGCACTTCTGGCCTTCCACTTGCACTGCTTCAGTGCCTCTAAAGTGCTCATAATGCCTTGACATGTTTTCTTCCTTATAAGTGAATGACATGGAAGTTTCTGGTAAGTAGAAACATTCAGACAGGCAATAAATCCATCAATGACTGCATTTCATTTTGACTCATAGTCCTGCTGGACTCTTCCTTCCATTTTGAAGTACTTTTGATAGCACTGACAATTGCTTGGAACTGCCTCACTGAATTGAATACAAGATACATGTGTCTTTGCCAGAAGGGGTGAGCCAATTGAGAAGCAGAAGGAATGTGGGGCTACACTTGTCATAACTCACTGTTTTTCCAAAAACAGTGATTAATTTCTTGGCTGTGGACACACACTATGGGTCTAACTACTCCCATTACAATGTAGCAGTAACATTTTTAAAGCTAGCTAGAAGACCAAACTTCCATCCTGGCCTTGCCTCTGATGGCTGCTTACTTGGATGAGTCAGTTCACCTCTCTGCTGTCTGCTGAACAAGGATGGCTGTTTCCACCCTCCTTCCTGACAGGATGCTCCAAGCTGCAAGGAAGACATGAGGCCAGATTCACACCCTGCCTTTCCAGGGCCAAGCAGCAGTCCAGGTACCTTTTGAGGTACTGTAACAGAGGGCATGCTGTGTACCAAGGCTCTCCCAGTCAGCCTCCACTTCCCTCAGGCTATCTGAGGTCCTCCTGTGTCTGGGCTTGGCTGTGGGGACAAGCATGTGGCACCTGGGCCACCCCCTTCTCAAGGCAACTGGAGTTCCCTGAGAGGCTTGGGCTTCTCCCTCCCTTTCTCTCTCTTTTCATCCGCTGGGGCCATCTGTCCTAAGTCATGGGTGCTGTGAGCATTTACATGTATGATCAGTCTGACACATCTTTTCATACCTTACTGCTGCTTCTCAGTCTCCTTTGTGGAATTTCCTCACTCTTCTCATTCCTGAAATGTCAGTGACCATTGGGGTTTCCACACTGTCTCTCTTGTATTTTCCTATTATAAACTGCCTCTGGGAGTTCTCTTCCTCTGTCTTCATTTACTGTTCATGCGGAGCTTGTTCTCAGACTTTCCTCCAGGTGCCAGGATTCACTTGCCAACTGGAACACTTTCTCTTAGGTGGCTCACAAAGCCATCAAACTTTCCCATCATCTCTCCCTGCTTCTCTTCCAGCTTCTTTCTTCCCCTCCTGTGCTCTGTCAGCCAATGACGCATCATATCAGCTCCTGAGTAAGCAACCTGAGCATCCTCTGTGATTCCTTCCTTTCACACCCCTCTGGATTCTAGCTCCACGACATTACTCACTGCTGCCCTTCCCCACAGCCACTGCCTCGCCCCCAAAACTACAACAATTTCTTCATGGCCTCCTGTTCAGTCTTGCCTCCTATTTCTCCATTTTCAGACGATTTCAGATCTTTCTGAAGCACAGATTTGATTGCATTATTCAGTTGCGGAAAACTGCCCAATGATTTCTTTTTGCACTTAAGATAAAGACCAAATCCCTTCCTAAGGCACCATCTGCCCCTCCGTGTGCCTTGATGGTACCGGCCCTCTGCCTCTTGCTCCAGCCTCCTGCACCACTTGCACTTCCCAGAAGTGTCAGTTCCGTGCACCTCCAGGCCTCTGCACCTGCTTTCTTTCTGAATGCCTCTTCCTCTCCTCCTCTGCCTGGCCCCTTGTCCCTCAGGTCTCAACTAGGACATCACATTCTTTGCAAACCTTTCCTGATTCCCTGAGATTGTCGGCAATTCTCAGGCTCTCAGGCATTCTGTGCTTAAGATCACCCTGGGACGTATATGTGGCAGGAGTACAGACACGTTGTAGTTGAATGAAAGAAATAGCTGTGAAATGTTAAAAGAAATGCATTTCATATATCTGTATTCGACATTAAAGGGCCTATTCTTCCCGGTCCCCAGTGTCCCACATTCAAGTTTTCTGTTTCTTATAATTAGGAGGAAAACAAAATTACAAACCTAGGCCAATGGCCATTCTCTTAGGATTTTTTCCCCTGTCTTTTTGGCTTGTGCTAGACAAGGAAGGGGAGTAGAGAGCACAAGGTGGGTGAGATAAGCAGACTGGCAGAAATTTTGAAGGCTGAAGATGTACTAAGGGAGGAAGTCTGTTCCCTCAGCTCATTATTTTAGGGGAGCATGAGCTTCTGAAGAAAAAAATACTACTTGGAATTTAACACTAGAAGGACCCCTGTTAACCCCCATAAAGGGCTGTTCACCTTAAATCAAGCTGTTTAGAGTTAGAAAGATGTGATTAATTCAAATCAGAAGGGAGATTCAAGGTTAGATTAAGTAGATATTAAAATTACTAAAAATAGATGCTAAATTGGACACTTGTACCTATTTCTTTAATCATCGCTGTATAAGCAAATGTTTTAAAAGTTAGTAATTGGTTTATGCAGGAAGAGAATTGGTTTCAAGATTCCTCTGCGTAAACTCAAGCCTCCAGCCTCTCGGTTAGCTTCCGACTACGTTAACTATTTATACCACCCAGGGACTATAGGCTGGGGTTGCAAACATTTAGAACCAGGAGCTCTGGTGGTGCAATGCCTAAGGCATTTGACTGCTAGCCAGAAGGTTGGTTCAAACCCACCAGCTGCTCCATGGAAGGAAGATGAGGCAATCTACTTCTGTAAAGATTTACCACCTTGTAAACCCAATAGGAGTAGCTGTGAGTCCGAATCAACTCAGTGGCAGCAGTCCTCTCGTGAGGTTTACAGCCTAGTAGCCAAAAACAGATGCATATGTGGACAATTAAACTGTATAGCAAACTCAACAATGGCTATAGTAAAAATGAGTGGTTTTTAATCCCAGTAAAACCAGTTACCATAGAGTCAGTTCTGACTCCTCATGACCCCATGTACATCAAAATAGACCTGTGCTTGATAGGGTTTTTATTGGCTTATTTTTTCAGAAGTAAAATTGCCAGACCTTTTTTCCCAGGTACCTTTGGGTGGGCTTGAACCTCCAGTCTTTGGGCTAGCCTCTGAGTGTGTTAACTGTACCAGCCAAGGACTCTGCAGCCTAGCATAGTGCCTATTACATAGAGACCAGTCAGAGTTGAAAACTTCAATTAGGTGATGATGATAAAAATCACCATTCATTGGACACTTGCTTTACAACAGTGCCGTGCTCAGCACTTTACATGCACCATCTCACTTAATCCTGAAAACAAAATTGGTCTTCTTCCCACTGCCATTGCAGAAGGGAGGACGCTGGGCATTTGAATCAGGACTGTTCAACTCTGAAGCATGTGCTCTTGGCCCCAATTACACTGTTGCCCTGTGACTCTGAGCTCAGGAGGTTTGCCCACTGTGTGTCCCCAGTGCCTAGACTGGGCCACCAGTAGCCTTCAAGAGCTCTCCTGGAGCAGTGAGTTGATACCCCTGAAGTGGAAGTAGCAGCTCTGTGAGCAGAGCAGGCTTGTGAATCACACTGCACAGAGGAAATTCTGGAATAATTTTTAAAAAGAAAATACCAATGTAATATTTAACATGTCTGCACATGCTGCTTTAATATAAACAACATTGTTGTTGGTTGCTCTCTAATTGATTCTAACTCATGGCAACCCCATGTGTGCAGAGTAGAACTGCTTCATAGAGTTTTCTTAGCTGTAATCTTAATGGAAGCATATTGCCAGGACTTTCTTCCGTGGAGCTGCTGGGTGGGTTCAAATGCCTACCTTTAGGTAAGCAGTTGAGTGTAAACCCTGTCTATAGCAATGTTTTTAAAGATGAGCCCATAAGTTCTAAGATTTCTAAGACAATATTAATCTCTTTGAGCCTCAAGTTTTTCAGTGGAAATGGGGATAATATCACCCACTTCATGAGTTTTTGGGAAGATTTAATGAGATAAAACATGTAAAAGTCTAGCATGATACCTAGTGCTCAGTAACTGTCAGTTATTCCTCCTCAAATAAAATCACTTCTTGTCCATTCCCCTCTGTGATAGTTTAAAAGCAGTCTTTGTGGAAGGAACCAAAACCAAAAACCAAACTCACTGCTGTCGAGTCAGATCCAACTCATAGCGACCCCTCCTTGGGATATTTAAAATAACCTAGAAGCAACATGGGAGCTCTGGTAGCATAGTGCCTAAGGCACCTGATTGCTAACCAGAAGTCTGGTGGTTCAAACCCACCAGCCACTCCTTGGAAAGAAAGTTGGGCAATCCGTAGTGATACTGCCTTGGAAACCCGAGGCAGGGTCACTATGAGTCAAATCCGACTCCATGGCACAAAGCAACAACAACTACAACAACAGAAGCAACATTGGTGGTGTAGCAGTTAAAGGTATTTGGCTGCTAGCCTAAAGGTCGCTGGTTTAAGCCCACCAGCCAGTCTGTGGAAGAAAGATGAAGCAGTCTGCTTCCGTAAAGATTTACAGTCTTGGAAACCCAGTGGGGGTTGCTATGAATTGGAATCAACAGTGAAAGTTTGGAGGAGCCCCACTGGTTCTACATGCCTGCGTTTCTGACTGGTCCCATTTGTTCATGAGCCGATACTCTGTGTACCAGCAGGTATACTGGGGCCAGGCTTTTAGAGGGCTGCTGTTGGAGCCAGCCCTTTAGTTCTCTGGACACTCTGCCTCCTGCTTCTCCAGTACTGCTTTGTTCCTGTACTTCTCCCTCTCCTGCACCATGTTTCTCTCTCTATGTGGGATCTTTCCCACCAACTTATAAATATGTTTTACACTTGATGTTTGATTCCACTCCTTCTCCTGCTCTTATTTTCTGTTCCCTTTCACAGCAAAACTTCTTAACTGAGCTGTCTTCCATTGCTGCTTTGTTTCCTCACCTCACATTCTCTACTCAGCCTATTTTGATTGGGCTTCTGCCTCAACCAATTTCTGAAATTGGTTAGACACTAAATAGTAATATCTGTATACTCAAATCCAATCATTACTCCTTTTATCCTCATTTCAAACTCTCATCCACATTTTATCCCTTTCCTGTCCCTTTTTAAAATGTTTCCGTTTTCTTCTTTATTGGTGTGTAACTCATTCATTAAAGCACACACCTCTTAAGTGTGGCGTGTGATGAACTTGTACACATTTGCAACTCTGTAACACTCTCTCCACTTATGTGATATAATTGAATGAATGTTCCTTCCTCTCTTTTTTTTTTTTTTTTGAATTGTGGGAAATACATACGTAACAAATTGTTTGTCATGTCAACATTCTTCATGGGTGCAATTCAGTGAGATTATTTGTGTTCATAATATTGTTAAACCATCACCATTATCCATTTCTAAATCACCCTCAACAGAAGCTTATTTTCCACTAGCAGTGAGTCTCCTCTTTCTACTCCATCCCACCTGTCGCCTGCTCAAACCAAAAACCTAAACCTGTTGCTGTTGAGTTGGTTCCGACTCCTATATGTCTCATATAGGTGGGATCATACAATATATGCCTTTCTGTGAGGGACTTATTTAACTCGAGTACTGTTTTCAAGGTTGATCCATGTCGTAGCATGTATCAGGACTTCATTTCTCTTTTTGACTAAGTAGTATTTCGTTGTGCATAAGCACCACGTTTTATTTATCCGTTCATCTGTTAGTGGACTTTACTCTTGCTGTGTCCTCACGTTCTCTTCTTTTACATCACTGCCTGGTTCTGTGCAGTCTCTTTTACTGGCCCTTTTGCTTCTGGTCATCCTGCAAGCAGAGTGCCTAGGGCACCAGGACCCCTTCTCATTTCCATTTACACTCCAAAGTAAGGTCATACCATCTCATGGCTTTAAGTATAGTCTGCATTTTGAAGTCTCCTGAATTTGTTCCTCTAGTTCTGACCTCTTGTCTGAACTCTAGACTCATATTTCCAACTCATTACTTGACATTTCTTTTTAGAAGTCAAATAGACATCTCAAAGTCAATATTGTCAGAATAAAGTCCTTCATTCTGTTTGTTCCGTCTTCTCCCATAGATGTCTCCATCTCATTCAGTGATTTATCTGTCTACCCAGTCACAAAACACCTAGAACTCATCTTTGATTCTTTTCTTTACCTACACATTCATTGCATCTGCAAATCTTGCTTATGCATGCCTCTGAAATAGCCTAGGTATTTCTTCTCTTCATTTCTGGTTCAAGTCACTGTTGTCTTTTGCCTGGGCTTCTGCAATAGCCTGACTATTCCCCCACCTTCTGCTTTTGCCTCCCTACGGTGCATTCTCATGCAGCAGCCAGAGAGATCACTTAAAATGTGAAGCAGGTTTTGCCACTTTTCTGCTAAAAGCCATACTCTGGTCTGCGAGACCCAGCAGGATCTACACTCTGCCTACATCTCTAACTTCAGCTTGTACTTCACTTACTTCATTCTCACATGCTTGCTTGCTTGCTTGCTTCCTGCTTCTCAAATACATGTCCTTCCTGCATTAGTGCCTTTGTGTTAGCTGTTTTCTCACCCTTGAAGACACTTCCTTCTGTATGTTGGACCTCTTTTTCATCCAGGCATCAGCTGAACTTTCAGAGAGGCCTTCCGATGTTCCCCTCTCCCCTGCTTAAAGAAGCCCTTTGGTTGCATTGCCCTGTTTTGTGTTCATGATAGCGCTTATTTACTGCCTGATATTACCCTGTTTGTTGTCTATTTCCTTCACATTACTTGGCTTGAAGAGAGTAGAGACTTGGCCTTCCTGTTCACAGCTATGTCCCCTGTGTGGCACTTACTAGCTGCCCAAGAAATATTGACTAAGTCTATAAATGAATGGATACAATGAATCCTATTGTTCTGTGTAAAGCAAGTAGTGTAAATAGCCCAAAAATTTGTCTGGAACCTGACTGGATGATAGACCTACAAGGTCCGCTCCTGGTGAGCTGCACTGTGTTTAACTTCAATGGCCTTTGTTGCAGAGAGGAGCAAGTACCCATGGAGCTGGTTCAACGGGGTGATATCATCAAGGTTGTCCCCGGGGGAAAGTTCCCAGTGGATGGGAAAGTCCTGGAAGGCAATACCATGGCTGACGAGTCCCTCATCACAGGTTAGGTGACTTGTTTCACATTCCCTTCAGGTGGGTGTCTGTCAGTTGCCAAGTCATGGGAATGCTGAATGGGATATAGAGAGTGATGGTTGTTCTCTGTTCTCCACCCCAGGAGAAGCCATGCCAGTCACGAAAAAGCCAGGAAGCACGGTGATTGCTGGGTCTATAAATGCACATGGCTCTGTGCTCATTAATGCCACCCATGTGGGCAATGATACCACTCTGGCTCAGATTGTGAAACTGGTGGAAGAGGCACAGATGTCAAAGGTAATGAAGACACTTGGAAGAACACTATAGCTTCAGCTTTCTCATTTCAGGAATTATTTCTAGAGTTATGTAGAATCAGGCAGATTTTATTAAGTAGAGATTGATTAGTTAAATATAGTAAATGAAGGAGATAAGAGCCCTTATCCATACTTGTGTTGTACTTCTTGTCAGGTTGTAATCTCCCTGGTCTTGGTGTTTTATCTTCATAGGCACCCATTCAGCAACTGGCTGACCGATTTAGTGGATATTTTGTCCCATTTATCATCATCATATCAACTTTGACGTTGGTGGTATGGATTATAATCGGTTTTATCGATTTTGGTGTTGTTCAGAAATACTTTCCTGTAAGTTGAATACCTTGGGCAGGATGGTTGTTTTGTTTTAAATAATCTACTGCCATTAATCCTGTTCTTCTGTTTCTCAGATTCATTTGGGCTTTAATTATCCATTACATTTCATTTGCCTGTATCGCTTATTGAGAGCAAAACTGAAATCAGTCACTGAATTTCTGCAGCTTTTTATTAAAGATGCCCTTTGCTTTGTAGTAATATCATTTTCATAAATAGCAACTGGCTCTTAGTTGTAATACTTAAAAGCACATTTATAATATGCAGTATTGGCCAATGTTGATGTTATCTTCTATGTTATCATAGAAGAGTGCTCATTTCACAGTTTCAGTAACATAATATTACACAGACTTTAAGAAAAATGTGTTTTTTGTTATCTATATCTATCAATACCATCTTCAGCCTCCCAACTTTCTTTATGCAATGTTATTAGTTTTTTTAATAATTAAGTATTTATTAGATATTATATATGAGGCAATGGGATATATACTTTTTAGTTTTGAAAAAGTAGAAAAAAACACTCCATCCTTCAAGGAACTTTTCTTCTAAGAGAAATAATAACTAACTATACATCATCATAGATTCTCAATGATTTTTTTCCCCCAGGAGATATCTGGCAATGCCTGGAGACATTTGTGATTGTCTTGACCTGGGTGGAGGCTATTAGCATCATTGGGTCTCTGAGGCCAGGGATGCTGCTAAACACCCTACAATGCACAGGGCAGTGCCCTGCCCCCAGCAAAGAATGACCTACCCCAAATGTCAGCAGTGCTGAGGCTGAGCAATGTCAATATACATTAAAAACAGCGGCCCACATAATGTAGTATGTGACAACTGCCCAGTGGGTGGAGCAATGCTTTGCCTTATTTTTTTTTTTTTAAATATAATATTTATTTGTGTTTTTTGTACAA